ACTCAGACTCTAGTACCATTGACAGTGTCTGCCACATTTAACCTCTCTGTTTATCCTATTACTTGACCTCAAATCTCTCTTACAATGTCATCTTGTATAATTTTACGGGAAATTAAACAAGAAGTAAAACTGTTACAGTGCATATTTATATACAAAGACTGATTTGTGTACTTTTCAGCAAATATGTTAAACAGAGCTGATCACTAATCTTATGTTTTGTGAGTTTCTGAGTGGCCAAGATGGGAATTTAGAAGAAATTCAAAGGAAAACACCCATTGACAGCTAAGAATACACTTCTGGCATAAGTGGCCAGAGACAATATAAAGGTGTGTCCACTGGCCCCGATGAAACAGTTAAACAGCGAAAGGTGCAACAGAAAACAGTGTCTGTCTTAATCTTTAAGATCAGCAAAACAGAAATCAGTGAAGTAGCTTGTGAACAGCACAACACAGAAGGTGCTGTCTTAGCTTCTTCTCTCATGGCAGCTCAAGGGAGAAAGGTTTTACATGGGCTCCCAGAGTTCAGTGGGGCAAGTTTTCAGATAAGAATACATATCCTGGAATAACTTCAGCAACCAGAAGATAAAATGGAGCCATTGCTAGGGCATGGGTAGAGAGAGGGGTGGATGAGGACCAGGAGAAGGAAGGGGAGGAAGGAGAAAGAGGGCAGGATGAGAAAGATGATAAGGGGGAAGGAGAACAACAGAGGAGGAGGAAGGAAGAGGAAAAGGGAGGAAGGGAGGAGGAAGAGGAGGGTGAGGGGTATTTCTTTAAGGAGTTCGCAGCTGGGAATGAGGCTGAGATTCTGATATGGATCACAGGTTTTCTCCTGGTCAGTTCTGAGGCAGGTCTCAGCATCTCATAGTTTTTGGGGTCCTGTATAATCTGTCACCCTGCAAAGATCACCTCTTTGCTCCTGCCCCAACCCACCTGGACCACTCAGCCTCCATGGCCTCCTGGACCCGCCTTGATTTAGATCTCTATTCATCAGAATGGGAACCATCTACGATTTCCAAAGTAACTCAAACTTTATGCCATGCCGACTTTAGGATTTGTTCTTGGTCTTAAGTACTGCCTACTGTTAGCTATGTTCTCACACTTATGGGTTAAATGCCTCTTGCATCCTCCATGGGTTATAATCACCAGGAAAAATGACTCAGCTACTCTTGGCCCATCACATAGTGCCAAACCCATGGAAGTCACTGCACACAGAAATACAACTGTCCCTCAATATCCACAGGGGATTTGTTCCAGGACCACCCAGTGATACCCAAATCATGGATATCCAAGTCCTTTATATTAAGTGTTGTGATATTCACAATGTGCATTGTCATTTTTATGCCATATATTTATGTCAACCCTGCATGAGCTATAATAACCAATGCCATGTAATGTTGTTTAAACAGTTATGCCTTATCGTTAAAAGGAAAATGAGAAGAAAAATAACTCTGGGCAAGGCCAGCAGAGGCAGTTCTGTCTTCAGGGAGCTGAACCCATGAATATGGAGCCTGCAGATACTGCAAGCCAACCATATTACTCAACGAGGACATTATAAAACTAAGAGCTTAAGGATTTACACAGTCTTACTAGGGGACAACGCAGTAGCTGGCCGTTACAGGGTGTGCAGGCAGTCTCCCACCAGGCAGCCTTCCTTGCTGGCAATTGAACACCAATACCCTCACTGCATGCTCACCCTTACAAGGTCATACAAGGACAGCCAGAAAAACAATACTGAAGGCTGTTCTTCCCACAGGGTCTACTTCTCTGAACTTCCGATTCCTGTGCTGTAAAGAATGGACACTGCCACCAAGTCTCTTGGGGCCACCACAAGGATTACACACAGCTAAGAGGGCAAGTATGTCAACTGCCAGTCATCTGTATGTCTGAGATAATCTTGTCACGGAGACAGGCTGATCGGTAAGTACAGCCACTGGCCTGTGATTTAGACTCTTTTTCCCCTTTCCTATCATCTCTTCTGTGTTGTTTAAGGGGCAAGGAAAACATACAGGAAAGCCAAGTCCAACCGCACGCTGCTGGGTGCTAAGTTCAGCGTGATGGACTGAACTTGACATTATCATTTAAATATCTACTGCCTCACAGTTAAAGGGGAGCAAACTCTCTTCACAGCATGGGTTTTGACCCATCCACACAGATCTAGACAGCAAGGGACGCTGGGGGGTGGGGGGGGCATTTCTATTCTGCTCCCATGGTGAGGGTGCCTGAGAATCAGCAACAATGCCTGGCACATGGCAGGTGTTCCATGAACATTTTCGGAAGGACAGCTGATTGAAGAATCAATGAGATAATTAAACAAATTTTTGAATGTTTTGTGACAAAAGTATTTCTTAGTTGGTACACAACTGTGATTTAAGAGGAAAGACAGCCTTTCCAAGTTCACGGTTTTTATCTTCATTATTTCCAAAAACACCACAGGAGACCTGGAGTGCAAATAAACAGGGAGGCTATCCCCAGCACGTGCAAAAATGCCTGATAAGTGTGCCCAAAGAGAAAACGTCAATTACACTGTCAGCCACCACCACCCCAACGTGCAGCTGGTGCTAAACAAATGCACACAGTCATTTTTCTATTTTCTGGGTCACCACACTAAGAGTGTCTATCACCACTCTGCCAGGCACTCTGTCATCTCCCTGACTTTGGTTGGACACCATGGCCATGTCTTAGTCCTTGGTCTCTGTGTCTCTCTGTAGAGGAGTCACAGTATCACCCTAACATGTAAAGCTAAGGCAAGGATGGAAAGCCACACTCCGTGACAGGTGGGAGTGGGGCTACCTACTTCTGAAACAGGGTCCAAGTTCAAGTTCACTTCATAATAACTGCTTTTAGAGGAACGGTATCTTAAATGTGTGTGCTTGTGTGGTGTGTGTGCACACGTGTGTGTGTGTGTGTGTGTGTGTGTGTGTGTGTGTGTGTGCTTGTGTGGTGTGTGTGCACACGTGTGTGTGTGTGTGTGTGTGTGTGTGTGTGCCTGCTCTTGAGTTTTGAGTGCAGGCATCTGTGAAGGTCAAAAGTGAATATCAGATCCCCTGGAGCTTGAGTTATAGGCAGTTGTGAAAGACCCGTAAAGGTGCTAAGGACTGAACCCAGGTCTTCTGCAAGGGCAAACAGTATGTGACTGTGTGTGTGTGTGTGTGTGTGTGTGTGTGCAGGAACATGCACACATGCTTGTAGACTTAAGTTTGTTGCCTACAATGAGAGATAAGAGGACAATGTTGGCTCTCTTCCTATCCTGTGGATCTGGGTGAGGTCATCAGGCTTGGTGGCAAGCCTCTTTTCCTCAAGTGAGTTGCTTATCTTATGATTCAAATGGAATCAGTACAAGTTGAAGCAGATTCTGCAATATTTGGAATTCTTTTCAAAAGTAATTTTTTCCAAATTGGGAAAACAATTCAATGTAAAGGGCCACGGTAATGAAAGCAGATACCTAATTTGAAAAATTAGCAATTGGGGGCTCTGGGTGTAGCTCAGTGGTGGATGGAACACTTGACCAACATGTGAGTGGCCCTGGTTCCAATCTGCAGTGACATACAAGCATACAGAGAGCCACAGGCTTCATCAAATTAAAAGACAGACATTACATCAGCTATGTCTGTACTTGCACGGACAGGTCTACCAGGTCTAAATTTCCCCCACCTCAGCTCCTCTGAAGATCAATGAACACCTGGGGAAAATGCAGGGAAAGACTCAAAAGGATATCAGGGCAAGAACACAGCTTGGGGAGGAACAATATAGCAAGGGCAAAGCCATGTTCCTATCTGTCAATCACAGCTAAAAAGGGAAACAAGAACTAGAATGGGGCAAACCAACTGAGAGTGGCCTAGTAACTCCAGAAGCAACATTGGAGGGCACACAAACTTGAGAGAGTGGGGAAGACAGCAAAAGAGAAAGTGTTCTGGGAACCCAAACAAGACTTGTGAAGATTTGGGAGCCTGGAAAAGCTACAGTGTTAAAGGTATTGACTAGGAAATTATAAGGAATTAAGTGTGGGAAGGAGAGGCGAGCCCGTGGAGGGCATCATAATTGTTAAAGCTTATTAAGAACAACATTAGGTTCCACCTCACACTTTGAAGCTGCCTTTATAAGATTACCTACCAAATCTAATTACTGCCACATGTAGGCACATTAATGAAAAGCTTTATATTCATGGAAAAGCACAAAAACGTGTTTTATCTGAAACCCAGATCTCAACTGTATGTTTTTAGCGGTTTGAATACTAAATGGCACATTCATCTGTCCATTTCAACAATGGATCTGCAAATCTAAGACTTTAAAAGAAACTGCCAAGGTCAGAGCCTGGAAAGAGGGCCCCCACAAAACTGTCACCCTCGGCGCTGGTTAGATTAATCATCGTCTTTCCACTCTCCCTTCAAAAAGAATTGAATTCTCACTGATGTTCAGTAAGGTAAGTAGTTCCTACTTAGTGTGAAATTCACTAAGCTCTCTTCTGTGGGGGGAGAAAGAAAGCACACACACACACTCACACACACACACACACACCTGCATCCTCTGAATGCTTCAAGGTCTCAATTTCCCAGGCACAAGAGAGCCCCAGAGGCTGAGAAAGGAGATACCCCTCAAGGCCTGCTCTCTGTGATTGTTGGAAATAATGCTATTTGTATCCTACAACTAGAGTCCCACCCTGGATACATGCTTTCCAGAACAGACATCAAACTATTCCCCACACCTGCTGCTTGGGAAAGGGTCACCTGGGCAATATCCACCAATCCTGCTAAGTCATGGCCAGTGATACAGAGAATAAAACACAACTGGTCTTTACAGGAAGGGATTTGAGGCTAAATTCCCATAACAAATCCTCTTAGTTACAGCACCCTCCCCAGCTACTCAGCCATGGAACACAGCACTCAGAGAACAAAGTCTCTTTCATTCAACCGACACCCAGTAGGCGGTGTTGTATGATCACGATCAAGACTCTCCTCCCTCGTGCCCCTATTCCCGAAAGAACGCTGAGCAGTGAGAGCAAACCTGATGGCATCCATGGATCAGATGTCGGTTTGGTCAAGGTGTTCACCTGCTCCCAGTTGAAGTCGTCATCATCAGCTTGACTATATCCACATGTGCTGTATGGTTCATCAAAGAGGCAGCCACCTACAATGGGAGAAGGAGACAATGTCTGTTACAGCCACAAGTCTGAACTGATCTGTGACGCATCAGGAAGACAGGCATGCACTGGACATCAAACTAAGTCGGATTTGACTGTCTTGCTTGGAAACTATGGATCTGACCCATTCGGTAAACCTTGCCAAATGTTGCCTAGTATTAGCCAAACGTAGTAATAGGATACACCATGTTGCTCTCTAATGGGAACCTAATGTCGGTAGAAAATAACTGAAATAAGAAAACCTAAAACTCCCATTTTCTCAGACGCATACTGAACTTAGAAATTTCATCTTGCATCCCAAACTTGAATAGAATTCCCTCGACTACTCAATATGTTTTCAGTAGAGAATTACAATTTGTTCAAAAATATTAAAGGGAAATGTTTTCACTAAAACACTGGCACAACAATAGAGGACAAGGCATACCACAAATGGTGAGCATGGTCTACAAGATATTTTTCAAAATATCCTGTCTATCTTACACAGAAGCAACTTCCAGTTTATGATTTAAGAAATTTGAGGTCTCATAATCAAAATAGACTCTGAAGTCACTTTATAGCTCACACAAGTCTCAGTGGCAGAAATTTCAAAGCTAAACATATGGCAAACATTTGCTTGGTTTTGGTACAATGAATGAAGCTATCTAAATTTTAAAAATAAAAGAAAGAAAGAAGGAAACGGCTGTATCAGGACCAATGCCATTCAGCACATGGTTGGCTTTCAGTCACACCCTACAAGCTCTTAGAGGCCCTTTGCATTGAATGATTCACAGTAGCAGGTCTTTGTACAAATGATTCACAGGGGGACAGTAAATGATGGCACTGATCACAGCAACAATCATGACAAGCCTGCCACCCATTTTATAATGATTAGTAGATGTTACATAATCGGTTGCATCATAAATAAATCCTATTAATTCAAATTATTAATTGTAATTGCTAGCAGTTGGTTACAAGTGACAAGTAGATGCAATTTTAGGGCTATTACTGTACCATGCCTGGCAGGTACACCCTAGAGGCAGAAGGAAAGGAAAACAGCAATTATAAACCAGAGAGAAAATGGAATTTGAAGGTCATCTGCCCTAACTTTCAGTCCCCAAACCTAAATCAGTCCTTTGCTTTCCTCAACAGCCAGGCATCCCCTGAAGACACGAGAGACTGCACATTCTGTCAGATGTAGAAACTTCCCAGAACATCCCTAGATGTTCTCATCTTCACTCTGCCTCTTGGAATGCACACCCATTTATCTTCCCTCCGCCCCACAAGGCAACAGTTAAACACACAGCTCCTGTGCAGGAAAACTGTCAGTTTGAAAGGAGCTGTCGTGTTCTACGTCTTAGCTTCCCCAGGCAATACATGCTCTGCTCTCCCCAGTTCCTCCTGTGAGGTTTGCAGACCTATCTGCACCCTGTCAGGCATTCTCTGAACACTTGTCCCCAACAATGGCACCCTGTGCTGGAACAAGAGCCCTCCTGAATCCTGCCCTTGACCTCTCACCCTGACAACAGCGTGGCCAAGAGCATAGGTTCATCCTGAACTAAAGTCCCGTGTCTTTCCACGCCTGCTGTCAAGTTGTTTCTGCTTATGTGAGGGTGTGTGTGTGTGTGTGTGTGTGTGTGTGTGTGTGTGTGTCTGTGTGGGCCTGTGTGTGGGCATGCGTGTGCACTCTGAATTCAAAGGACTGCCCAGTTATCCTTACTAAATCCATTTCATTTTCAGTGCATCACTCCAGCCCATGGACAGCCCAGGCATGCCTGACCCCCATCACTTGGGAATTAGTTATCCTACCTAGATTTACATTGTAGAATAATAATAATTACTCACAAAATACAAAATGCTCTTGAATTTGAACCTTTTTCTCACTGACATAATTCAACAAACTCATATACTTCCACACCCAGTTTCAGGTACTGGGTTAAGATCAAAATGCTAGTGTACAATAAAAAAATGCAAAAATCATCTTCAGGCTATATGAAACAAATGACTTCTGTGATTGTACTTATTCCCAGCCCCAGAATAGCTCAATTTATACACCCAAGGCTTTCAAAACACTCACCCAAACCCCAAACGTTTCTTGTCCCTAGCATTTTGGAAAAGGACTTACTCCACCTACATCATCAGATATGATGAGTACTCAGTCAAAACTGCCTGCTGCATGTACTGGAAAATGTCAGACAGGGGAGAGTCAAGAAACCTCAGGTTGTCCCAGACAGCCTCTCTCAGCTCTTCAGCAGGTCTCAGTCAGCAGCTCTAGGCACAAGGGTGAAATCAGCTGCTGTCTTCTGGAATGCTTTCAGTTCTTATAGTCCCAACTAACTCTTCCCCACGGAAAACACAGCTCATTATGAAGGTACAGAATTAAATTCAAAAGTTTAACCTGACAACAAATGCTCAGTCATGTGCCCCCGCTTGCTGAGTTGTAACAAGTTTAAGAAAAGTGGATCTGTCCAGCACCCAAGGTGAATGGCATTGCTTCCAGTATGGGTGAGGTGTGCAAAGACTATGTGTGACCATTCATGAGAAAAAGAGTCCTGTGACTGCAAGTTGCAGTTGACATGGAGAATAGCCTCAGCCTCCAGGGACAAGCCAAACAGTAGTGGCCTATACAACAATAAGGAGAAGGAAACCATCACCTATGTTGACATAAAGGGGCTTCTGGAGAAAACCCAGATACCATGGGCTGACTAACTCCTCTCTCATAGTCTTAAACAGCAGGAGTTTCCACATCACACCATTAGGCTGGTTTAGGATCTGGTCTTCCAAATGGCTGTTGGCACTAATGATGTAACCTGATGCTGAGGCAGATGGATACAGTAAAGGGGGAAGCTCGAAGAGCAATCCAATGCCAGTGTAAGGAGAGAGTGAACATTCACAGTGTTGCTCTGGTTGCTTGAAAGGAAGCATAAAGGGAAAATACATGTCTTTTCAAGATGATGCACAATTGTCAAGCCCCTGAAAGATGGAATCCACTGTGCATTTCCCAATGCCTTAAGATATGTTACCTTGCACGCCACTCTTTATCAGTGAGACACTGTGATAGTAAAAATGATTTATTGAAATAAAGCAGGAAAAAAGGTAAAAGGAAACGATGTCAGAATTGAAACAAACAAATCCCAGTTCTCATAAGGCTGAGACATGAGGGCTGCAAGGGAGAGGTCAGCTTGGTGTGCATGGCAAGTTTGAGACCAGTCTTGGATACACAACAAGACCCTCCCTTAAAAAACCACAAAACTGAGGAGGGTGGGAAGGGAAGGGGAAGGGAGGGGAGGGGAAGGGAGGGGGAAGAAACCAATTAAAGAGAGAATAATTTAGTTATTGGTCCTAATTTAGTATTTTACTGAAGCAAAAGACAAGTCCCAGAGTCAAGCCCCCCCCCCATTTTGTTGTTGTTGTTTTCCTTTGTTGAAAGCAGCAGAGTGAAAGAACAGGCATCTTGGGTCTGGAGGGATGGCTTGGCTTTTAAGATCAAGCACTGCTCTTCCAGGAAACCTGCATTCTGATCCCAGTGCCTACTCTAGACAGCTCACATCTAACCATAACTCCAGGCCCAAGGGATCCAATGCCTTCTTCTGACTTCTGTGGGCATCTGCACTCATGTACACACACCCACATACAGACAGACAGACAGATAGACAGACAGATACACATCTTAAAAATAAAAACAACTGGTATCTGAAAGCCCACCAGAAAAAAAGAGGAAACCACTCAAGAGTAATACACTGTCTACACTGCAGTCAATACAGCATTCACCACAATAAGAGCATGGCAAGTCCTCAACATTAAAAAGAAAAAAAGAGAATGGGAAATGAGGGCCTGGACAGTTGGCTCAGAGGTTAAGAGCATTTGTAGAATTTGATTCCCAGCACTCACTTAGCTTCTTAGGACTGTCTGGAACTCCAGTTCCCAGAGATCTGACACCCCCTCTTCTGGCTTTTGAAGGCACTGCATACATGTAGTACACAGACATACATGCAGGCAAAACACAGAATACTACAAAAGTGATTTTTAGCTGGGCATGGTGTCACATGACTTTGATCCAGAATTTGGGAGGCAGAGGCAGGACAATCTCTAAGTTCCAGGCCATCCTGGTCTATAGTGTGAATTCCAGGACAGCCAGTGCTACACAGACAAATCCTGTCTCAAAAGGGGGAGTAGCAATATATTCCCTCAAACTCAGTGCAGAAATGGTCTACAATAATTTTACCCCCAAATTAAAAACAAGTAAGTATGAAGGAATGCCCCTCAGATAAGGAAAAGTATCTTAATCCAACCCTTAACACCCCTAAGCCTGATTCAGGTAGATCTCAGGGTGACAAGGGGCAAACTTGACTGTATGGCTCAATGTCTTCCTTTGTATTATGGCTAAAAACTGTAAGCCAGTTAAATGTTAATGAACTCTCTACAAATTGTGGCTCTCCAAGATTTTTTTTTTTTTTTACTCTGGCAATAATTAGGTAGCAAGTGTAGTTGCCTATAAAGGTCACTTCTGATTTATGAAAATAAAATATTTCCATTTGCATACCGGACAGAATTTATCTTGCTTCTTGCTCTAGAGTAGCACAAATGGCTCATTTTGCCAACAGTAATAGGAAATACTTACCCTATAAGGTAAAAAGAAGGTGGCCAGCTTAGACGCCACAGAGAAATTTAGAAGGTTTCATATCTGTCTGAATAGGAGGACCTAGATAGACAACAGAGCCAAAACAAGCTGACATGGCTGTAGCCAGAAGTACTTTTGGAGGCCGCGCAAGGTGGCTCAGTGTGTAAAGCAGTTTGCAGAACCAGCCAGGCTGTCCCATTTCAATCCCTGGAACCCACATGAGGGTGGATGGCGAGAACTGGTTTCACAGAGATTCATGCTGTGGCCATTGTGGCCATAAACAGGCACCCAGCTCACACAGACATGAGCATCATGAACTTATTTACTTCTTGGGGCTGGAGAGGTTGCTCAGGCAGTGACCAATGTATCTGTTGCTTCTCCAGAAAACCG